CCCCAAAACCCCAAAACCCCAAAACCCCAAAACCCCTCTCTTACTGATAAATATTGAAAATGGTGATACATAGCGGTAGAGTCCTATTTTCACACAAGTGAGGTTACACAGAGCTGTCTAATGCTGCTTTCTATCCTCTTTCCATACTTTAAGAATTTGATCAACCTTAGCTTGCTCTGCTTTCCTCTCTTTGATCTTCTCACGCAATTTTCTTCTGAAATTTCTCTGCTTTATCGCTGATTTTAGTTTTCTAAATCATTAAAATTAAGGTGAATGTTGGGAATAAGAGTCATACCTTTCAGGGATAGATGGGTAAGCCATCTTCTTGGTTCGAGCTCTGAATACTTGGCTCTGTCTACATTTATGGGTGAGATTTAGTATTTTCTTACTAAATTTCAAGCCAATTTTGGTATAAGAGGCAATATATTTGATGCCAAAAGTAGCAAAGACATCTTTGTATTGAGATTAACAAGGTTAGTGAATTTCAGATGACCAAGCATATATGATTCAATTTTTTTATTATACATAGTGTAAATTCATTTTATGTAGCTTAGCTTTTAGATCATTTAGTAAAAGATATCAAGAATTTCTAGGTGAAGGATCAATTTACCTGTCTCTTTTTGATCGAGGAATAATGTTTGGAGTATTATTCTCATTTAATTCACCTAAATATAACATTCCATTGATACCTTCACTGTTGTCACCATCAGTTTCACTCATACATTTCTTTCCAATCTATACTAAACTTCTTACCCTCTCTCAAACCTCTAAGCCCCTATCTACCCTCCAAAACCCAAATTCTCACTCCAAACCCTCATATCCCTCAACCTAACCCCCAAAACCCCTCATCCCCTCTCTCACCACTCACCTGCTCAAAATCAATCTCTTCATCAAAATCCAGCACTAAATCCCCTAATTCCCTCTTCAGCCCTCAAAACGCTCACTTCTTTCCCCTCTTCTTCCCACAATAACACGGTAGGGTCTCTTCCTCCTCCTTTCTTGACTTAATCGCTTCAAAAATCCTGCTCATTTCTTTACCAAACTAATTTATTACTAAGTTTCAGTCTAATTCCTTCAGATAGGGGTTTTGGGGTTTTGGGGTTTTGGGG